TGTTTGTGTGTGTGTGTGTGTGTGTGTGTGTGTGGGTGTGTGTGTGTGTGTTTGTGTGTGTGTGTGTGCATGGGCCCAGGTGCAAGCATTGGAATGAATGGCAAGTGGGAAGGGCAGGACTGGGCTGGGGTGTGTTATTTCCACCAACAGATACCAGGAGATGCTTCTTTTCATCTTTTCAATTTAGTGTTGACAATGAGCCCTGAGGTAACTAGGAGAAGGCATTGTAGGGAAGATCATGTTTTTTTTCTTTTTACAGCTGAAGGTCAGAAAGGCAACTTGCTTGCATCCCATGTCAAAACATTTCATCAACTCGGGTGACTCCCTGTTCAGGCGGCTTTGCTCTTCCTTGGCTATAAATAGCCGTCATGTGGGCTTCTCTAGTCTGAAGGCAAGAAAGCTCAAGGAGCGAGAAGAAGCACACGTTGGCCTACTATAGTTTCGCAGTGTTTTTCAAGGCTTATGTTTCCTTTTCGGTCTGTGAAAATTGAGGTTGACACCCCACACGGGCAAAAACTCCCTGAACATTCATGTGCATTCTTATTTCTAAATTAATTGGAGTAGGTGTTGTCTTAGCACAATACCAGAATCCCATGCAGGATGGATGGCCGATTCATTAAAATAATAAATAACGATGGATAATTTGTTAAAAATCAATTGCTTATGGCAGTACATTAATTTGGGAGAGACAACTGATGAACATAAAAAAAATTAAAGGATCAGGTAGCACTATTTTAACATCTAATGTATATGAGATTCATTATGATCATCTTTGGCCATTCTTTATTTTGTGGTTTAAAAATTTACTGAATGAACCAAATTAAATTAAATTTCTTAGCATTTAAGCGCACCGCTGCCATTGTTAAAATTCCAAGCTTTGGTGTCACACCTAGTAGACTCTCATCTTTTTCAAATGAAGGTGGAAGGGTGGTGTATTTCTTTAAAAAAGAAAACCGAAAGAACAGCTGCCTTGGCTCCCTTAACTGGGAGAAAGACGGCGTGCAAATCAAAACAGCAAATTAAAAACATCAACAGATAAAGTGATGCCTCAACACAACTACAACTGTTATTTTATATTAACTGTTTTTATTACGTGTTTTGTGAGCCGCCCAGAGTAGACTATGTCTAAATAGGCGGCATGTAAGCTCAATCAATCAATCAATCAATCACTCTATCTATCACTCTATCTATCACTCTGTCTATCACTCTATCACTCTGTCTATCTCTCTATCCCTCTGTCTATCTCTCTATCCCTCTGTCTATCTCTCTATCCCTCTGTCTATCTCTCTATCCCTCTGTCTATCTCTCTATCCCTCTGTCTATCTCTCTGTCTGTCTGTCTATCTATCTATCTATCAAGAAAGAAAGAAAGAAAGAAAGGTATAAGATGAAGGTTTGGAAGTTTTGCTCCAATGTCCGGGTTTGAGGGCGTAGTAAAAAACGAGGTTGTGGTGAAATAGTTATTATGCTTCCCTTGGTGTGTTGTCTGGCTCAGAATGCCAGTTACGCTCCTCGTGTGGCTTGGCCTCGCCACCCTTCCTTCTGATGTGTGCCTGTGTAGGGTTGGCACCCTGGATGAAGGAGTAGCAAGAATGCAATCCGATCATTGTCCGGATATGGAATGCATAACTTACTAGCCAAGATGACACAAGGAACTCCATGCCCAAGGGGTTCTGTGGCTTCTTTCTGAACTCCAGATGAACTGCCCTGGAAGCTAGATTTTTCAAAAGGAGCATTTATGCCTGCTTGTGGTTTTTCCCCACGGAAGGTTGGATCAGACAATAATGTTACCATGGTGTTCCAAGCAGGGCTTCCTCAAATCCTGAGGCGCATGTCGCTTTTCCGGCGTTCTGCGAGCTTCTAAGTGCACCTTGAGTGCTTTGGGTAGCTTGACCCTTCCTTACTTAAAAAAGTTGCCTCTGTTATTAGGCTGATTATATTCATATATGCACCTTCTTATTAATTTTTTTTTTAAAAAAACATCATTTATTATTAGAGAACATGCATTTATTGTTAACAAAAGGGCCATTGTTGCTATGGAAGTAATGCTACTTCTCATGCTTGGTACCTTTCAGTTCAAAAGTTTCAAGGTTTTTTAGAGTCTCATTATTCATGTTCATAAGCACCTGTGCTGGAGATGTGAAAATACTCCATCCTGCATCAGTGATAGATGCATATAATTCTGCTGGGATTTAATATCTTCCCTTACAATACAGTATTAAAGCAAGGCTCGGGCTTAACATTTTGACCCCTCTTTTGAAGTTCTCTGTATACTTTTGATAAGACAGGAGGGCCTGGTGTGCTCTGGTCCATGGGTTCACGAAGAGTTGGACACGACTAAACGACTAAACAACAATATACTTTTGGAAGTATACCCTATATACCCTGGAAAAGACCCTAATGTTGGGAAAATGTGAAGGCAGGAGGAGAAGGGGACGATCGAGGACGAGATGGTTGGACAGCGTCATCGAAACGACCAACATGAATTTGACCCAACTCCGGGAGGCCATGGAAGACAGGAGGGCCTGGCGTGCTCTGGTCCATGGGGTCACGAAGAGTCGGACACGGCTAAACAACAACAACAATATACTTTTACTTGGAGTAAATTTAATTTAAACCAGCAGGGCTTTCTTCTGAGGAACCACACAGTATACTATTGAAGTGACAATCCAGCGTGGGCTTGCTGGGGCATAAGATCTATTTGGCAATATTGAGGTTGACTGTGTGTATAGGGAATGAGTTGTTTTTAACTTATAGAGTTATTTTAGAAGAACCACTTAGGTGGATCAGCTCTGGAAGTTGTCCCATCAGTATGTAAAATGGAAGTGCACTTTTACTGGAAAAAAAAACCCCTCAATACCAACCTTTAAGAACATGTTTTTCGTTCTTGTTTTCTTGGTCAGCCACAGTTAATAAATATATTTTAGGTAACCCTCCATATTTGCAATAGAAACTGTAGATGGCAACCACTGTCTTAAAAGAAGCATTCAACTATCAACAGAGAAAAGGGAGCAAGGGGGAGAAAGCTGTCTTAAAGTTGAATGCTTCTCGGAAGATGTTGCCTGTTCCAACATGCATTCACTTAGCTCATTGAGAAACCTAAAAACTGCCTGGCTTTGGACTATTGTTTTGACACTCAAGCAAATGCAGGTTGCCTGACAGACAGAAAAACCCATGATTAATCAACTAAGGTTTCTTGAATCCCACGAAAGATGCCTCATACAGCCTTGTGAATAGACGGTCGAAAATTATAGCTTGCACCATAGAAAACTGACTCGCTGAGAGAGCCTGCCAGTCTTCATCCTTCTCTTTCCCCTATATTTAGAGGAAGCAATGAGTCTAGAGAGAGCAATCTCCATTTATCCATATGTGCTGCCTATATTAGCTGAGATCTTAGAAATCCTGGCGTCTCGTCAGACTTCTTCCCTCTTCAGGTGGGAGGGTGATGGGAATTCCCCAGGGTGCTCCTTGCTTTGTTCGGTATTATTTGCTGAGATTTTTACGCACATACCTGCATGGAATTTCGAGTCGCCCCAGGCGACTAGACCGATTATTAAAATAAAAAACTGTTCAACATTTCAGCTGTCGTCCTGATGACGTAACCAAGAGTAACGAAAGGATGCATTTTTTTAAAAAAGGCCGCAACTCCAAATACTGCAGGCGAAAATACAGATTAATATTCAGCATTGTGCAACTGTTAGGTTAACATCGTTTTGTTACAATCGCGGGAACACAATGTTAAATGGGTTGTTGGGGCCACATTTCACAGAAGAAGGGTGTTTGCTCTTTCTTCCTCCACTTGATGTTAAATAATATTTACCTTTGGTTCTGAAGGACGCAGACTTCTTTCTTAAACAAAGGCACACCTGCTATAGTGAAGCCTTTATTTTCTTTTTAATAATTTTATTTTAAAGGCCCTCTTGTCTCTTTTTCCTCCCCAGAGCCCTCGTCTGCCGAATTTGCTGACAGCTCTTGAAAGATGATTTTGGCGAATAAGGCTGAACGCTAACAGCTTTCGCCTCGGCAGCACAAAGAGCAATCAAGTCTAGAAGAAAGGGGGAAAAACACACACACACTATGTGTAGAGCTGTTGATGAGTAGCACATGGCTTTGGAGTGGAGAAAGAGGAGGAGGAGGCGGCAGTGGCGACGAAGGAGGGGAGGGCACTGCTCTTCCCGTTCACATCCAGACCGAAGGGCTTCAGGCTTATAAGAAGAGATGCTAAGGCAGAACCCGGTTCTACCCATGTGGCCAAACAGCGCAGACCCTACAGCTACTTGACCGGCAGGAGGCCCGACCTGGAACGGCACAGATCCATCTTGCCTGGTGTGTGTGGTTTTTTTTCTATTTGCAAGTGGAGGAGAGACGGACACAGGAGCAAAGCCGAATTTAAAATGCCAGCTAAAGGCAAATACTTCTTCAGTGAAAACGAAGGCTGCAAGATCAGCGATCCTTTGTACGAGAAATACCGCTACTCCAGCCAGCAGCATCCTCTGCTTTTCTTCCTGGTCTTCATTGCCATCGCTTATTGCATGACGCTCGTCATCGTTCTCGTCAGCCGGGACGTGAGTACGAGCCTCTGCGCTCTCTCTTTTTTTTCTTGTTGCAGAATGAAGCCTGGCTGGGTTTGACCCTGGACGATAAAGAGGAGCATCAGAGACATGGCATTTCAAACCACGCCTGCCATTGCAACAGCCGGTGGTTCTCGGGAAACTTAAAGTCAAATGAGAGAAATCTTAACTCTTGCACATGTGATGGGGTTGGAGGAGTTCCATATTTTAGCAGAGGTTCAGTTTCAGGATTAAACCTAGCTGTATCAAAATGCAGTATTTCCAGTGGGAGTTGTTTGTTAATGCAAAAAAAAAAAGAGTAAAGCAATGACACTTGTGTCAAATAATGTGATAACTTCCTGAGTTGACCTTCTGTTATACTGGCAATGCAGGCCCATTGGGGTCTTTTTTTCCAGGCAAAAGGTTTCATAAATGGTCCTGTAACCAGTCCTTCCACAGATGTTCTTAGACTACATTTCTCAAAAAAAAATCTTGGGTAGCACAGCTGGGGGTGAAGGCTTCTGGGGGTTTTCGTTCAAGAACATCTGGGGATCCAAGATTGTAGCCACAGTACAGCCAATGGCGGGAGGAGGATCTCTCTGCCTTTTGGCATGTTGGAGCAGCTGCCAAGTAGAGTCAAGTTGGGGTGGGCAAAAAGTAGATTGGAATCCTATAATTGTAGAATCATGGAGATGGAAGGGGCCTCCAAGGCCATCAAGTCCAACCTGAAGGCAGGAATCCAGATCAAAGTGGATCCGGCAGAGGATTGTCCAGTTTTTCTCTGGAATGCCTCCAGTGCTGAAGCCCTCACCACCTTAACAAGTTTGTCCTGATATTCAGCCTAAAATCTGGCCTCCTGTAGCTTGAGGTCTATTGATGTGCTGTCTGTCTCTTTGCAATAGATCAGCAAGGATTCCTGATCCTCGTAGCTGTTTAACGTAGACAGCAAAAAAAAAACAACAACTCTTAACTCTGCTTCAAATCAAAAATACTGCACAACCGGAAGTTGATTTTTGCAGGGTATGGTAATAGATGACTTTTATTCCTGAGGCTTTCACACCAGTTCTTGGGCTGAGCTATAGTTCGGCTTTAAACATAGCTTTTAAGGTGCAAAAAAGGTCTCTTTGTTCCTTGCATTTTGACAAAGTGAGCACAGCTGCTTCCACCCCCTAGAAATTAATTCTATGCCATGTGGTGCCTTTCAAAGGTCTTGTGCCCAGAATTAGTTTTTTGGAATTAAAAAACTCAGAGAATTCTTCAGCCAGCAAAGACATGGGTGTTTGTAGTCCAAAAAGTAACCTTTTCCAAGTTCTAGATGATTAGAGCAGGATAGAATTGGATTCACTGCCTAAGTTTCCATTCTGTCTATCAAGAACTTTGGATGCGTCCAGTTTTTCTTCAAAGAAACCAGGCAGAGAGCGTCAGGTCCCCCCTGATGTGGTCTTCAGGTGGAAGCAGATTCCTGGGTTCTTGAATGCACAACAGATGGTCAGAATCCGTTGTGTTTAAAATTGCATTGCTTTGAAATTGCATGCTCCAGTTGGTGATCGGGCAACTTTTCTGCTTTATTTTTTTAACAGGATCCTCATAATCACCTTCCCTTCGTTATTATAGTGAGCATCGCTCTTGTGATTTTTATAATCATGTACATTCTGGTTTATATCGAGTGCTTCTTCTGGTGCCGACTGAAATTATTTGCTGCCATGATTTGGATCTGCCTGCTGGCCATTGCCTACGTGTCCATTTTTAACAAGGGAAACGTACACCACCTGGCTGCCTGGGAACAGGTATTTATGCTTTCTGTTTTATTATAGAGTCCTTGAATCATGGAGTTGGAAGGGACTTATAAGGCCATCAAGTCCAACCCCCCCTTCTCAAGGCAGGAATACAAATAAAGTTAGATCTGACAGCTGGTGGCCCAATTTTCTCCTTAATTCCTCCAGTGTTGGAGTACTTTTTTGAGCTGTACACCTCGCCATTGCCCATGCCAACTGATGGGGGCTGGAAATCCAAAACTTGTGGAGGAAAGCTAATACGAAGTCACATTTCCCTGCCTCAGTCTTATTCTAGAAGGAAAACTGTATGTTGCCAACAGATCATCCTACCTAAAAGGGGAGGGGTGATTCCAGCAGACCTCTGTGTCTGGAATCATCATCAGTTGGCCAATAAAGCTTGTATTTGCAGGATGTCTGGAAGAAGCGATCAGGGACAGACCCAAGCTAATTTACAAACTACAGGAGGTGTGCAAAGCTCTTGCTAGGAAAATCAGATGCTTTCAGCACTTAAGGAATTCCTTCGTCTGATTATCATTTCTAATTGTTCTCTGTAATGTTTAGTTTTGCTAAACCACTGAGCTAGCCAACCAGCCGGTTCTGACTCAGCTACCTCTCTGGACATTAATTTATAGAGTTCTCTGAAAGCTGTTTTGAGTACGACTCCCTTTACAAAATTCTGTTCTTCTGTTGAAACCTACTCATTGTTGAACATACTGAAAAATACTGAGGTGCTTTTTTTGGGGCTTCTTTTACAGGTACCTTTTTTCTTATTCATCATCTTCACGGCTTACACCATGTTACCCTTGGGGATGAGAGATGCTGTCATTGTCAGCAGTGTTTCAGCGCTCTTTCATATTATTGTTCTGACCATCGCCATAATGGAACAGAATGACAAGAACGAGCGGACCCTCGTGTTTCAGGTAAGGCAACGGAATAGTTGATCATTCGGTTCTGACTTGATAAGCCAGATCAGCTTGTTGAAAAACTCTTTGACCAGTTCATCTGTTGTTGTTGTTGAGTTGTTTAGTCGTGTCCGACTCTTCGTGACCCCATGGACCAGAGCACGCCAGGCCCTCCTGTCTTCCACTGCCTCCCAGAGTTGGGTCAAATTCATGTTGGTCGCTTCGATGACCCTGTCCAACCATCTTGTCCTCTGTCGTCCCCTTCTCTTGCCTTCACACTTTCCCAACATTAGGGTCTTTTCCAGGGAGTCTTCTAGTGATGCTTTAAATAAAAAATTCGGTTATCTTGAATATAACCTCCTACTTTTGGTTCTTAAACCAAAAGGGTTGAGGGTTGCTCTACTGAAATTTTGGGGTGAGACTTCTGCTCTGCTGGGAACCACTGCTGGCCATATCTGCAAACCGTGAATGCTGTCACAGGACAGGCATTTGGGCTGAACTATACGGAGCTGGCTGAATAGCTCGGTAGTTAAGGTCTCAGGCTGCAGATCCAGAGTTTGGGAGTTCGATTCCCCACTGGGCCTCCTGTGTCGTGAAGCCAGCCTGTGTGACCTCGGGCAAGCTGCACAGCCCCAGGTTTTCCTCCAGAAAAAAGAATGATAAACTACAGTACGCCTGAATATTTACCTGAAGGCCCTGAAAAGGGACACCAAAAGTCATGACTGACTTGCCTGCACATATTTATTATTATATTTTACAGACAATCTGTTATTAGAACAGGCAATTTCTCAAGTGCTGAAAGACATGTGATTGTTACAGTGGACATATACTTTGCAAATAACCTTGTTTCGTTTTGTGATCGGTCCTCTTGACATAAACCCGGGCTTTGTTTGCAAAAATGCTTTCTAAGATGCAGAGATCTTTCCAACACCTACGAATGTCTCCTGTTTTAGTGATAGGTGACTTGTAGAGTATAGTTTCCCGCTTATTCACACAGGCTAGCATTCTTGGAAGGAGCCAGAAAGGATCCTGGACAAACTGTTCTCAAATAATAAAAGCAAACATCTGTGCAACTGAAGCCACGGAAAGAGATTTCCTTGGTTGCTGTTTCAAAATTTGGGCCCAGACTGTAAAAAATGTACCTGCTGAAAAGCAGAACTCCCACTGAACATATTTCTGTGAAGCCGTGGACGGCTCTTTTTTTTTTTTTTTACAAGGAAAGTAAAAGTTCCCAAGGCGTAGGAAGAGAACGCAAATTCCGTATTGGTGCCAGGTTATTATTATTTTTAAGCTCCAGCCGTCTGTTTGCTGCTGGAAGGAACTTAAAGGCCCCCTTTTACAATGCGGTAACATGTTCTAAATTCCAGAGAGAATATCTGGCTTCCGTCCCTAGGTTTGGGCGTGTTCCTAAATTTAACGGGAAAAGAGAAGATAAATTCTCATGCTTTTCTTTGCAATAGCGCTAAAGATTATGCACAGATTGAAAATTCCCTGGCAAAGTTCAGAAGTCTGGCCGACTCATGGCAGAGCTGTGCAGGGCTTTAAAATCTAATGAGCGTAAAGGGGCGAACCCTCTCTGAACCAGAATCCACATAGCTGAGAGCCGAGCATCATGTCTGTGCAAATGAGGTCACTCATTTCCTTCCCCCAGATAAGTGCTTCTTGGCGAAGTGATGTCATGCTGTCTTTTCGTTTCTTTTAACGCTTTCCTTTCTGCTGCCTTGCCTCTGCCAGCAGAATTTCAAGGGAAAACGTTTCCCTTGCACATTGAAATGAACCAAAGGCAAGTATCCTTTAAACAGGAAGATGATTCTTTTTAAAAAAGGACCAGTTGTCAAAATTTAGAGTAAAATCTCTCCCCTGGAATTTCTGGAGCTGGTTGAAATGACTCAAAGGCAATCTGAGGCAACACTCAAATAGGGCTCTTTTAAAAAGCACCGATTGCCAATCTGCTCAAGAAATGAGCTCAGTTTGAATCCTGCCACAGTGCATTTATTCCCCCCTTTTTTTCCTCCTTTGTAAATAAATTTATTTAAACAAACTGATGAAATCTTAGTGTGAATAATTATATTCCACCCAGGCAGAGTAAGCTTTCTTTCAGTTTGCCAGCCATACTTTCGGAGCAAACAACATCTGAATTTAACCTTCTGCTTCAGGCAGGATTGCAAGACTGGAGAACGATGTCATTTTCTTTTTTCTTTTTCTTTTTTTTTAAAAAAACACAATATATCATCAAGCCACTAATTGCATGTACTCATTTGTTTCAAAGTTTTTCCCTGGCCCCATTGTATAACTCGATTCAGGGATCTAGAGGAAACTCCAGATCAAATAAAATGGAACATTTTCCTTTCTCATTGTTAACTAACCACAAATTTGCTCAGCCTTCAGTCTATGAACATGGCCCCTGCAGAGCTAAAGAGACAGTACATAAAATAAGCTAACATTTGTAAGTTCTGTTTGCTTGCCTCTCCCATGGTTATGAAATCCAGTGTAGTTTTTCTTGACAAGATGCATGCTTTTATTTTACTTTATTTAAAATATTTTTACCCCACCTTCCTCCTTCCCCAGGCAGCTATTTTACAGCATGTCTGTACACTTTTCAGATTTTCTTTAAAAAAATTAAATCACAGCAGTTTGCAGCTAAAGCAGCCCAAGTAAAACCAGGGGTTTGAGGAAATAAAACAATAAAAACAAGGAAATCCATTCGTTTAAACCAAGGGTGGGCAACGTCAGAAGGTGTGGGGGCCACTTTCCACTCACAAGAGACACAACCCTATGACACAAATTAGCCCCCTGTGGGAGATTTGGAGGCTGCCTCATGTTACTTCTGACTTCTGCCTTTGATTTAAACGACAATGTGTGTGTTTGTGTGCTGAGTTTGCACATCATATGGTTTAGTGCCTGTGTACACAACTCGATCGGACCAGGTGGAGCAGCTGGCTTGCATACCTGACACTTACCGTCCGTGGAGGCAGGGATCCTTCTCCCAGCGTTTCTTTTCCGTTTCCTTGAACCCCAACTGGTTGGGTCGCCTAGATCACGGTTTATGGTTTATCTCTAATTGTTTCAAAATACAGCAGCTTCGAAACAAGGCATTATGAAGCTGGTTTGCTTGCTTGCTAGAGTTTGCAGTCACAGTCAACCCTACATGTAGAGGGGCACCTCAAGCCAAAAGTCAAGGAAATTGGAAGTCAACAGCGTAGAGGGCTGCTCTTGGGCTGTACGGAAGGAGGAGAGTTAACTCTGGGGAGCTGGAGCTTTTAATTTAAAATTATTTTAAAATGGTTGCAATCCAGGTTTTGGAATGTAATTTAATCGTTTGTCCCAGCTCTGTCTTTTCTTTTCTTCCCCAGTCCATTTTGCGACATGCTCTGGTGCACTGTGGGAGAAATTGGGAGGCAGATAAATAAAACGGACCCTTTCGTGGTGGCCCACAATGTATGAAGGATATACTGCATGTTGGTCTTAAGATCTTCAGCCCGAGCTTAGAAAGCCCAAGGCTACTCACGATGACTCATGAAAGAGTGCGAAGCCATTCATCATCGGAAAATGCCAAAATAAAAAAACCAAAAGCCCACCCCAAACAATACACTATGCTATATCATCTTTCCCCTCCTCCTGAGTAAAGTTACTAATGATCTGAGCTGAAGGAAAAAGCCTACCTCAACTCAGAATCCTCCCCGAATCCCAGCAATGAGTAACTGTAGGGAAATTCTACTGTTTGCTGTTTCACAAGATCAGCTTTCGCTCCCTGGTTGCCATGAAGTAAAGCCACGGCCTTCAAAAGAATGTGGGATTTAGTGCTGTGTATTCTGCCTGGCATTCAGGCGATTCCTTCCGAAATAATAACAGGCGCAGAGTGCTTCGGGCTGGTGCCACACGATTATTAAACAGGGGTAACTATTCTGGATGCATCAGGAAACACAATAAGAGAAAAGCGCGCACACACATCCTGGAAACCCAACCGGGATAGGACACCAGAATATAAAAAGAACCTAGACGTTGTTGCAGAGGCCCTAAAGGTGGCTTCCATGCATGGGGTTGGTGGTAGCCATCACGGAGAAACAAGACCCAGTGTTGCGCCACTCCTCCCTCACAAAGGGGGAAAGAAGACTGATCGGTTCTCACAACGAAGGACAGAATACAGTAGTGCCTTGCTAGACAATGATAATCCATTCCACTGAAATCACTGTCTAGCGAAATCATTGTCTAGCGAAAAGCAAATCATCATCCAGCGAAATTCCCCCATAGGAATCACTGTTTTGCGAATCGCTATAGCGATCACAAAAAGTCAATGTCTAGCGAAAAAACTGTCATGCGGGGTAACTGTCTAGCGAGACACCACTGTATGTGTATTATTTATTCATTTCTTGCATTTCTTACCTTTTCTCCAGGGAGTTCAGGGTGGTTTATGGGACTTTATTCTTCTGTCCCCTTTACCTTCCTAACGACCCTTTGAGGTAGGTCACTAGGCTGTCACCCAAGAGGTTTTTTTTTATGGCTAAGGTGAGGGTTCGGCTCTAGACTCTCTTGTCCACCATGCCACACTGGCAGGGATTTGATGAAGAGCAACATCCGCGCCAAACGAGTGGTTGGTTCAGAAAGGGGACAAGCAAGCAAGATGTCTAAGCCGTCCTTGCTAGGAAGTTGTGGCTTTCATTACCCACAGTTCTTTGTGAAGCCAACTGTCCGTTGCCTATCTGCAATAATTCCACTTGCATTACAAGACAGTTTTTTTTTTTTAAATTCTTCTCTTTTCTGCCTTGGATGTAAAAGCCTCCTGTCAGAAGGGCATGGGCTACCGGATCCGTCTCGTCACTTCTGCTTTCTGCTTCCTTCTTAGTTCATTTTCCTTTCGGGCAGGTTCATAAAAGGGGCGTGGACGGGAGCCTCCTGAAGTTATTAAAATATGTAATTTCCTTTTCTGTCTCAGCTGTAGCGTAGGCATCAGATCTTCATCAAGAACACATGGACTTAATTTCCTTAGGCTAGGCTAAGAGGTTGCTTCAATTTGCTAATAGTGGTTATTAAATCATGATCTTTTCAGAGGCGTGCTTTCGCCGCCTGACATTTGATTACAGCAAATGCTGTAAGTTCATTAATTTTTCCCTCAATTGCCTTTCAGCTGAGCAAACATGATCTCTTTCATAATTTTTAAATGCACTGGTAACTCAGTTCAAGACTAAACACACTCTCTGCAGAAAAAGGACTTGTTTAAAGAGGAATACATTCTGCATGGTTACAGCTAGTCACGAAAAAGAGAACGGAGTTATTGATTGCAGGTTTCAGGCAGGAAGAAAACTCACACCCCCTTACAAATAGCGAGACATTAAGATTTGGAGAATAAAAGAGGCAGCTTTGATCGGAAACACGACAAGACCAAAATGCGGAACCTCACAAAACCCCGAAATTAATTAACACGGGAGAATTAAGTCTGCAAGATCTGAATTTCGTGAATTTGGAGGGTCATGTTATTTATTTCCTCAGGTGCTTGCCAACGCTGTAATTTTCCTGTGTGGCAATCTGATGGGAGCGTTTCACAAACATCAGATGCAGGATGCTTCGTGGGACTTGTACAGATACACTCTGAAATGCATCCAAGTCCAGATGAAGCTGAAGATCGAAAAAAGACAGCAAGTGCGTGGTTTTGCCCTTTCATTACTTTTTCTTTTGTTCCCTTAAAAAAAACAAAACATGCACCTGTGGGACAGAACAGGTAATGCTTCAGGGTCTTGATCCGCTTCACACAGAATACTCAAGGTAGTAAATGTTCTATCTCATATAACCAGAAACGAAAATTAAAAGTCTCAATTTGATTTGATTTGATTTTTTTTTTTCACCCAGAGTAGCACAAGAGTCTCCAAGCACAGGAATGTTAACTTACCTGCAAAAGAATGTGATTGTCATGGATTCCACTCACAAATGTTGGGTTGGTTAATCTTGTTCTTTAATCTTGTCACCCATACATGGGTGGTGGAATCAAGAAATAAGCTGGAGTGGAAGATCCATAATTGAATTATTTTTTTGATTTGATTTTTTTTTTCACCCAGAGTAGCACAAGAGTCTCCAAGCACAGGAATGTTAACTTACCTGCAAAAGAATGTGATTGTCATGGATTCCACTCACAAATGTTGGGTTGGTTAATCTTGTTCTTTAATCTTGTCACCCATACATGGGTGGTGGAATCAAGAAATAAGCTGGAGTGGAAGATCCATAATTGAATTATTTTTTCTAAAATTATCAGTGGTGAGGCTAAAGACGTGATTCTTTGTACAGTGGTGCCTCGCTTGATGACAATAATCCGTTCCAGGAAAATTGCTGTTAAGCGATATCGTCGTCAAGTGAAAAAAAAAACCATTGGAATGCATTGAAAACCGGTCAGTGCATTCCAATGGGGGAAATACCTCAT